TACCTGCGGAGCGCCTTTTTTCTATTGTTTTCTTGCTTATTTTCGGTGCTTTCAAGTGAAGCTTGCGGTGTGCTAGAGTGTCTTTTTGCGTGTTCGTAGTAGGTGCTGGGAAATGAAGAGCTTTTGGGGTGTCCTGCAAGGCTTTTGTTAGAGCTAGTCCCTGGTTATTCTTCTGGAAATGTGCGAGGAAGGTGTGCTTGTGTTGGAGTTCCCGGGCCACCACCACGCACCCCCATCCCCCGCCCCTTGAACTGCGCCTTGATATTTACAACTGAGAACTTGCCTATCCAGGCTCTATCCATCATGAGGAGGCTCACCCTAATGATTTAGACGGCAGTAGTAAATCGTTTTTATAATCAGTTCCTCAAACACAGAAATAAGATTTACTGATGTATTTTTTTGTAATTTTTGTAAATAAGAAATAATAATGATGTATTAATCTATTGGGAAATGCTTCTAAAAAGTTGTTAAAACTCTGGCAGATATGACAGGAATGTCTCTACATCCACCCTGCTTTAAGTAGCCCTTTTTTGCTGCTGTAACCGTACTGCTATCATTGTGAGTGCACATTCCACGTGTGAAGAAAAACCAAAATAAATTATAAGCTCGTCCTTGCAAAGAAATACAATCATGTGATTATGATGCTTCTTGAATTATGTAGTGATAATAGGAGTTCATAATTGAAACAATGAAGAATGTCATGTTGCCGTGTTTTACATGATAACATGAGGGTCAGGCTCTTTCACAGGAAAAAATCCCTGACCGTTGTAAAAAATGAAATTGCTCGTGTATGTGGAAAAATTAAGATGACTTGGAAATCATAGTTATGTTCCTAACATGTCTTCCATGTTCCCCCTGAGTTTTCCTGTTTCAGTATTTCTTAAAGAAGTTAAAATTAAGAGAATTTGTGTTTAAGTGTTAATTTTCTTATTTTCATCCCCATGATGTATTTCCTGGGGATGGTGTAAAATGAACTATATTTGATAGATTCTCTTAAGGAAACTGGTAAAAACCTAATTTGCAAATAAAACTCACTGGGAAGCTGCTGTTCCTTTTTTTTTTTTTTTTTTTTTAAGTGAAATGTGACTCCCTTACCATGAGTTGTCAAAAGAGGGGAGGAAAACAGTTACAACGGTTACAATAACTGCTGAATAAATGAAAGAAGTGTGTCACATTCCTGTGTGCTTGTGGTCACAGGAAAAGTGCCCTTTAATTGTGTGGGGAATCTCATAGCAGAGATTTCATAAATGGAGCAGGCTAATCAACAGATAAATGATCAAAGAAAGTACTTTCATCTTTGCTGTTTAGGACGGACTGAAATGAAGCACCCACTCCTTTTCTGCGTTCACCTTCAAAAGTCTAAAACTAACATTGGGGCTTAGACAAAGGGAGTGATTCTTGGCCATTGTGCGGGTAGGTTAGCAGATAGTTACTCAACAAACTTGTTATCCCCAAACCATTTTATTATCAATCATTAGAAAGATCAACAATGTTAAATTCTGGTGATGTTAACTTTAAAGCTGATTTGAAGCTTGATCAATATTGAACCACATCTTCCCTATGGGGGTACTGTAAAAATCTTAGAATGGGACTGGTTGTTAGTAGAACAGCTTGTATTTTTCTATTGCTGTACTAGTAACTTTGGTTATTCTATAAAAACATTGCTCATTATTTTAATGCTAGCTCTGTAATTATCTCAGTACATGGTTAACTATGGCCAGTGCCTTTCTGGGTGCTTTGTTTTTTAGAATTGGGGAAGAAGAGGCTGAAGATCATTACTCAAACTGAATCTGTCATCTGTATTTGTTTTATGTTACACCCTAGTGATTTGAGTAGGATGGTAAACATGAATGTGAACTGTGGATCTGGGCCATGTAGTCTTAACATTTTTAACTAACCTAGATTGGCTTTTTTCTTAACTGCCATATTGCGATAGCTCTCATCTATGCTGTCCCACTAGCCTCTTAGAAATTTCGTAAAAGCATGTCTTCAGCTGTTAATTTTCATTGCACTCAGAAAACTTTTGCTGTCTGATGTTGTGCTGGACTGAACCTGTCGGTCTTTGTTTTCCTGTCTGCATTTTTTTTTTTCCACAAAAGATGTACGTCAGATGAGCTTTGGAAATACCACTTGTGGGTTGTTGGTGTCAAAAAGCCAGGAGTGAACATTAAATATTGTCACAATTAAGATTACTTATATTGTTGGCTTGCCAAAGCTACAGATACCGCAAATCAAACTAAAATCCAATAGTCTGATACTTGGTGGTTCGTCTACCCAGTACGTCTTTTAAAAGTTACCCTCACAAAGTTACAATGTCAATGACATAAAGGTAGGGTGGAAGGCATGTCTGTCCCTGTTTTTCCTCACTTTTTCTTACTGTCAGTCAGCAGTTGAAGGAAATTGAATCACAGACTTTTCCCTGCTAGGGGAGTTCTCTTTCATTCTCCTCCCCGTTTTCTTTCTGCTTGACCCAATCTGGAAATTACTCCTTCATCCTCAGCTGCATGTTATTCTGCCACTGTTTGGCACTGAGTCGAGGCTCTTCCTGTTACGATTTCATTTCCATTTTAAGCCATTACTGCAGCAGTGTTTTGCTGTTGGAGGAAGGCTTGCTGCAATTTCCATGTGAGCCTGCTCATTCATTTGATCAAGTAAACTTGCCGACAAATGGTAGTGTGTGGTTTCTTCAGGAAGCACTGCATAGCAGGAACAGTATAGGTACAGTATTCATAATTGCTTCTGGAGGTTAGAGGAAAAAGCAGTGCCTGTTGTTTTTCCCTTCCAATCTCTACAGCGTTCCTGAATTTTAACAGATTGGTCTGTAGTCCTGTCCTTAGGTGAAGTGCATCATCTGTGGCCCGGGAGGAGCAGGAGTGAATGGCTACTTTATAGTTTGCTGCTGTTTCCCCAGGGATGCTGAGGAAGTCCTGTTGTTATAAACAATAGCAAGAGTACAGCCTGTATAAGTTTGTCCTAGGGAGGAATTGGGTGGTTCTTTGCCACTGCTGTACAAGCCTCATTGGGCATGACTTCAAGGCTGGAATCCTTAGATGATTGCCAATGCCACCCTCTGTTTGGCATTTGCATGCAACAGGCTGCAAAGTAAAGCACTGAAACTTTATTTTGTGTCAGAAATACTGCCAAAAATATGATACTGATTTGAGGTGTTTTAAGAGTAAGGAGCTAGAGTGGAAATGAGGAAGGAGGGGGAAAGTGATTCGGGGGGACAGGGTAATAGAGAAGGCAATGTGAAAAGAAAAGGGCAAGAAAAACATTTTAAGTTATAACAACCCTTTGATTGTACAGTGGTTTTAGCCTCAGCAAGTTACTGTCCTTAATTTATATTTCCAACCTAGTTGTTACGATTTGACTGCCATCTGTACTGGGCTGCTGTGATTCCCTTCATAGTAACCTGTAAGATATCAATTGCTGTAATGTGACAGGCAGTCATGATTCACTAACTGGTATACAGGTACAGGGATAATTACTTATTTACAATCACTGCACTGTGAATCTAGAAGTATGTTGGCTATAATTAGTCCCATACTGACTAACAGGCAAGCCATTTGGCAGCTTCAGAGAATCATACACAACTCCATTTCTCCTAACATTGAGTTGCCAGTCATTATCTGTTTCTATTTATTTGAGGTATTTTTCATGTCTTAACAATCCTTTCATTCCTTTTAGTCCATTTTTCCTTCATTTGAAATCACTCTAAGAAAAAGTTGGCCTTGTCTATCACTTCCTGCACAGCACAAATTCAGTTCTATTTCCTATTTATGGTTCTGGTCTTTCTTTGTTTGCCTACATGGAAGAATGCCAGACTCTGTTTCCCTTCTCATTGTAAACAGGCAAGTTTTAAGAGGAAAGAGCTTTGCTAAGCTAATGGGAAGAAAGAGCAGGGGGAAATGGAAATTAAATAGGTGAAAAAAGGTGGTATTTATTACCTTATGAATCAACGAGCTTTGAAGTTGAGGAGTTTATTATTAATATATCTTGATAACTAACTTGTAAGCAAGAAGCATCTCCAGCTTCTCCAGTATATGGGGAGAGGTGTCCTCAGAAGAACAAACAGAGCAGTCAATCAGTGTCAAAAGCCAATGTGCAAGGATTCATCATTTTTAAATGCATTTCATTATTTCAGAATTCTTTAGCAAATATGAAAGTATAACCTGCTTTTATACTAAGTTTTGGGGGGGTTACGTCACTTAAGGAAGTGCTGTAATGACAAAGACATGAGGTGTTAGCTTAGGCAAGTGCAGTGGAAAGGTGTATTTCAGAGAGAAGGTACACGTTCAGCATGAGTGAAGGTAAGTAGTTAGGAGAAACTATGATCTAAATCAGATGAGATGCTGGACTGTAGAAGAACAGTGGTGATGGCCCACAGTAATCATGAAAGAGATATTTTAAACATTTTGAGGAAGAGCTTTAAGAGCCCTGTTTGTTGTCAACAGACAGCTGGGATTTCACAGGAAGATATTGTGCAGCTTCAAATTTCTCATTTCATCATTTGTTATGCTGTGTTTAGGACTTATAGTTGTTTTCCACAAAAATGTCTCATGAATAGGGCTAAGACTGAAAGTTTTAACCTAGTTTCTTGTATGGAATGTGTTGCTTTAAAAACACCATTACACCAAAGATCTTTCAGCCAAAAGCAAGGCAAACTGCAATTGGGGGTTGAAAGTTATCAACCCTATTGGCCTCTTTCCTCAGCAAGAGAATGGCTTTTCTGAAATCACATAGGAAACAATACCTCTTAAATTTTCTCTGAAACATTTTGAGGTTTAGTTTTTACAAACAACTTGTATGTATCAGATTTCGATAATATTCCTATTCACATTCAGTGGAATTGCAGTTCTGAGGTATCCTTGGATCAAATACTTTCATATATACTGAACTGAAAAGAGGCATTCACTCCAGAATACACTTTGTGTTCCTAAATAATCCCTTTCAAAGATTAAAAGTATGCCAAATCTGCAAACAAAACTGAGAAACTAGAAAATTATGTTCATTGTTCTGTTATCTCAGCTCTCAATGTCATTTATGAGTATGTAAGAACATGTTGTTGATTGAAATGGATTTTTGCTATTTCAGGTATGCAATTATGGGGATGCCCTTGAATTACTTCTTGCCAGCTAAAAACACCTTCAACCTTTGAAAAATAATCTTTTGTCAGCTATGTGGCAGAAAGTAGAAAATAGTAAATCGAAACTTGAACGTTAGTACAGTTCATTCTGTAAAGCAAGTTATTAAAATCACTTTTTGTAACACAAATCTGAAAGCAAACCTTTATTTTTTCTTTCAGATGAATGTCTGTAGGTTACGCTTAACAGTACCACCTGATGAAAGCTCACAGCCTGAACAAGGAGCAAAGGAACCTGAAAGAAAGAAAAATGTAAGTTTTAAGAATGAAAGTTAAATTCTGTATGAACAAGGAGTAAATATTGCCATCCACAGAAGCTGATGTTAGTTGTTTTGGGAGCCCAAAGCGCAGTCATCTTGGAAGACTGAAGAACATGTGGAAGCTGATCAAGTCAGCTGTGAGCTTTGGGCGTGAGCCTTGAAGTTGGGGGTAGCAGAACTGCATGTAAAATAGGACAGTGGTAGAGGAACAGCAGAGAGATTGTAGGTGTTTTGTTACTGAGGTACCTTTAAGACTCAATTACTTAATATTTATATATTAAAGAGTAGGGAACTGCTGTCAAGAGGAGGGTCTTGCGTTAAACAGGATCTTGATCCTCACCTGAAGGGCATTTTATGTTTCATGTATGCTTAATAGCGTGCAAGATTTGAGCCTTAATGTGTATGGGAGCTGGCTTGCCTGGGACTTGGGTGTTTTGCTGTGTCAGCTGATTTTGATAACTAATAAGAAGTACAAAAGTACAAAACAAAGAATTCAAGATTGTTCTGAAGTGAAAGTGATTTGAAGGTCATGTGCATAGAAGGGTTCAGAAGGGCAATTTTTTTGTCGAAGCAAGTAGTTTGTACACAAAAAAAATCTTACAGCCGCTTTGGTGCGGAACTTGTTCTTTAAGAGCTGTTTCAGAGTGATAGATGACGTTTAATTTGTCTTAAGGATGGAGTCTAAAAAGGGAGGCTGGCCAGGCTCCACAACTTCACCACATTTACACTTTGATAAACCAAAATCAAATAACAAGTTGGCTAAGTTTACCAGACCCAATGTCTGAATAGCAATACGATAATAGGAAGCAAAACAACAATAGGATTTATTTGAAATAATTTCTTAGTGGTACTCAGAAGCAAAAGTAACTGTAAAATGTCTCAGAAAGACAAACATTTTAAAGCAATAAAAATAAATGCAAAGGAAAATGATCAAGATAAAGATTCCTTATCAGATATTTCTTATGCTGGAATCTTGTATACACTCAGCTTTTCATACACTGCAGATGGGTCCTTGAGGATCTATAAATGTTACTTACAGAATGGATTAAAGAGGCCTTAATGCAAACTAAATTTGGGCCACCATTAAATAGTAATAATTCATTTTGTACAGCGGTGTTTAGTTGTATCACTTAGAGTAGCTTCCCCCACCAGTTACTTTGTCAGTCTCTTGTCAGTTTGTATCTGATTGCAGAAACTCTCAGGCTGGCTGAAGCATATGGGCCCATTCCCCTAAGAGTAGTATTAAGTTTGTTTTTGAGGAGGATAGATACTGACTCATAGCTTACTCACTTTACTGTGCTGAGTAGGGTAACAATAAGAAAGAAGTGTGAATGATTACGGCTTGGATAATTTGTGGCTTATTTATGTGACCAATTTTTTTCTCTGTGAGACCTTGTATTTAATGAGAGTTGTATTTCCTCCATAATACAGGTAAAGGCAAATGGGTTTTAAATTGGAGAATGTTAAGGAGAAGATAGGAAAGGTAATAAATACATTATTGGGCTCATCTTACATTCCAGTATATTGCACAGTGATTTTTAAGAGATGGGTCCTTTTTAGTTGAGACCAAAAAGATGGTATGTAATTAAACTATTGTATGTTTTGAGTAGTTTTCTAAAGTTCAGTACTTTTGCACAATTTAAAGACTTTTCGAAAGCATACATACAGCCTTCAGAGCTAGATGGGATCTAATTAGTCAATTTCATAGCAATTAAAAACCACAGAGTAATTATGCCATCTACTTATGTTTTATGGTCTTTGTGTAATTCAAAAAACAGCCCTACAGATTCTATAGTCATAGTGTATAGAAGCAGCTACAAAAAGAAAATCACTGATGATGAGCTGTTTTTTCCTCATGTCTCTAAAACAAGACAGTAATGTGTTACTTGTATATTTTTATTGTCCAGGTAATCTATTGCTTTATGTATTTGAATTAGTTACACAGTAACTTATAGTGTACATAGGGCTCTTTGACTAGTCATGCCGTGATATTTTTCTCTTGCTGCAAAATTTAATTAAAAAAAAAAAGCAGCATCTCCTAAAAGCAGTGATCTGGTGTCTCGCTGATCCACCCATGTTCAACTGACTCAACGTTAATGAAATTGCTTAAAGCACTTTGAGAATAACAAGTTTTACAAATGTTAGATAATCCTTACACAGTCCTATAAGAACTGTGCCCCCTTCTTGGAAACAGGGATAATAGAGAGGAATTGGGGAACTTCTCAGTTTTCTGCCTTGCACTGTACAATTCAAAGTCAAAAAATACAGCTTCACCATGAATCAAATTTAACAGCGGGTCTTTTGTTGGAACCTAGAATTCTGTGCTGTTTTAAAATGCTGACTATTAAGAAAATGGGAACACGGAAAATGGTTTTGGTATTTAAAATACCTTAGTGTAACTTACGGAAATGAACTGCAGGGGTAATCTGTGGGATGGTGCAGTTTTTGCTGGAGCGCTCAGGCAGACCAGGCAGTCTGAGCCTGCTCTCCTGTTTGGGCAGGAGAAGTGCTGGAGAGAGACAGACTCTTCCCTGCCTCTGCCAGCTGCTGGTGAGGGAGGAGAGCAGAGACCTTGCTGTGTCCAAGGGAATGCCAGGAAACTATAAATATACCATGGCATGACATTTGGTTGTAATCTCCTCTTTCAAAGCTTTCATTAGAAGGAGGTGAGTTTGAGCTGCCCTAATGTGACATAGTGATGGCTCACTGACTGTTACTTTTCTGCATCTCTCTGGGGCTCAGTACCATTAAAAGATGTTTCAGTCACAAAATCATCTACCGCACAGAAGGTCTTCCTAGTACTGATCCTCCCAATAACTTGTTTTGGAGCTTGATTTAAGATCAGAACTGATTCTTTATCGGTTATGTTAGTAGCTGTTAGCTTAACCCTTTTTGTTGTAGTCCAAGTTTAGCAGAAAATGTATGTTGTATTTCATTAAATCTGTATCAGTGCATTAAGTTTCTAGATTGACTTTTTTAAATAAAAATGAACCAGTGTAAAAAGATTAAAACAAAGTGATGAAGCTGGGCAGTTTTGTTGCAACAAAATTGCTGAGGGCATTACTGTACTAGGATGGCCTCTCCCTGTCTTTTGTGAAAGGCTGGCAGATGGTACACAGTTAAAGTTGATCTCAAAAACTGAAGGGGGAGTGAGCTTGTGCTCCTGTGTGTCAAGTTGGATTTTTATATTCATATTTAGGCTATGATACCTTGAAAGAATCATATGAGAATGGAAGTCACAAGTAGAGGGTGGTTGGTTTGTTTGCTTTACTAAAAGCCTGCTGCTAAATACCTCTGAATTGTTAGCACTTTAGGTACAGAAAATCTGAAACTATCCTGATTTTGTTCCGTTACTTCTGTTAATGATAGACAATGGGTGACAGTAGTGTGAGGCTGTTTACTTCACCATGAAGTACAAAGGAATATTGTGCTTGTCAGATTGTATGCAAAATCTGTGTGTCCTGAAGCCTGGCTTGTCTTGCATAATAAAGGACTACCAGACAATTGTATTGTCCCTGTTTGGGATTGGGCTTATTTTTATCCATCAGTCCCTTTCTTCATTGTCATGGCTAAATTTGGAAGTGTCATTGGAAGCTGCAGCTATGCATTTGAGGGCAGAATGTGGAGATATGTATAGACAGATTTTTCTTTTTCATTTGAACATATGGACAAGAGAATGAAAATGAGGAATTTGTGTCACTTTCCTGTCTTTGTGGCTTTCAATAGCGTTTGAGCAGTGTTTAATCTTAAACTCTAGTTGGTACTTTGGCTGTATATTTCCTCAAACTCTTCAATTTTCTTATGTTTTTAAAGCATCACAATCAAGAGGTGAAAACTTTTTTTCTTAAGCAGGAATACAGAAGCATAGCAAACATTTTTTTTCCCCAGCAAAAAGTAGGCTGTAAAGAAGCTGGAAGGGGAATTCGTTCCTGTACGTGATGGAGAGAATCAAGGAGGAACTTGTGTCAAGCCTGGATCAAAGAGTATGAGTGCAATGAACATGGAGCTGTTGTGCACATTGAATCTAGGACAGTGCCTATTTTCTCTGCTGATCTGCTGCTGCCAGCCCACTCCCATCAGCACAGCAGAAATTGTGTCATAACAAATGTGGTTCACCTGCTACAGGTGGCTGATGTTACTGTTTCTCATCACCTCCAGCACTGATTGCTTGATTTTTTGATGTGTACTAATTAAGTGACACGTTCATTTAAAAACAGCACTACGTGAAAACCACAGAAAGAATTCCACTGACTTCAGTGATTACTGCTGTATTGTTGTATCTTATTTTCTTAGTGTATAAACATTGGTGTTCTGCCTACAGATTTCAGTGACTAGGTATGACTTTGTATAATGCCTGTCACTTCTGTTTTGAGATAGGCACCTAAATTCTACATTTCAAGAAGCCTAAAAGTTGGAATGTGTTAAACGATGCTTTGTGTTTAGTGTCATGAATTTAAGAACGCTCAGGTCTATGTCTTGGCATATTTTCCCTATTTTAATACTATTTATATAAGAAACATCCATAAATGTAACATGAGTTTCATGGGCTGTAGAGGAATATGAAAAAACATAAAAACATAGCTACCTTTTGTCAGAGCACAGTACCTTTCCTTGGTGAGCTCAATATTATAAATTTTTCATTTTACTGCACAGAAAATATGTAACCTAAGTAACAATGTGAATGTTCTTGTTCCATGTATAACTAATGACCAAGCAAAAGATAACTGGGTATTTCAGAAACCTCTGGAATGTGGCAGTTAAGGAAAAGATAAAGCTTCGCTTAACTGATAATAGTTTTGGTTAAAAGAAGAGTTTTTAGATGGTGTAGGTAAACGGAAGATCATGATTTAGCAAAATTTTAAGGCCATATTGAGTACTAAACCCAGAATTGTGCTAATCGTTACATTAGATGTCCTTTTTCCTCAAAATAAGATACTTCTTCTGTGTTTCTGCTTCTAATTTTGGGGCAAGGACAAAGTATAAAATATGGGGGTATCTGACTTTCATTTAAAAAACTGATGGAAATAGATTAGGAAGCAAATCATCCCTCAGTGTTACTTACATAATGCAGTTAAACCATGGACAATACAAAAAGCAGCTAACAACTCATACCTAGGGTTTGGTTTTTATACTGTCTTTGCTTCACCTGTTTCATGCTCCTTGTGCTACTTCCTTGGACAGAGACATAAACAGGATGCATGGCAATTATCAAGACTTTTGCAACCTTGGGGTGTAGGCTTCTGTTTTAAATATTTGTTAAGTAAGTAAACACAGTCTGCGTTTCTTTAGTGCATGCTGTGTGATCACACCAAGTGCAACATGACTGTTGCTGCAACACAGACAAAGCATGTTCCTGGAAGCTGCTATAGTATTCATGTGTACTAACATGATGTGTTCTTGCTGTTACCTTGGACTGTCATGTAACTGACTATAGGTACAAAGAAATATTCACAAATTGCTTAAGATAAGTCTGCCTTTTCAGATCAGCAGCTCACATTAGAAGGGATTTTGAGCACAATTTGGGCCAACAACTGTGCTTGTTCCAGTGCAGCCAGTGCATAGACAGGTGAGGAGCAAGAACTTCTCTGTACTCTGGAGCTGGCTGATATTTTGACCTTAAACAGCAATGGTTAACTAATGTAATGAAACCTCCCATCTTCAAGCACTTTTCTGGTTAGCTTACAGTATTTAGTTGCTCCTAAACACTTGCATGTATTTACTTACTCTGTTACCATCACTGAGGTGCCTCGCTGCAGATTGCAGTGGAGACAGGCAAGGACTTTCTCAGAAAAATGTCTTAGTTCTGAGAGTAGATATGTATGGGACATAGAGGATAACAATGAAAAGTATTTGACTTAAAAAGCACCCTATAGTCCTTGGAGATAGGGAAAATCCAGGATTTGTGGAAGAGGAAACGAGAGAGAGAGAGAGAAAGAACACGTGACAGAGGAAGATGGAAGAGGAAACGAGAGAGAGAGAGAGAACACGTGACAGAGGAAGGACAGAGGACAAGGCGTAAAAGGAAAAAAACATGGAAGGGAGAAAAATAATGTAAGTAGCTTAAGAGAGGAGACAAACTGGCAGAGAGTATACTCGATACATACTTAGTGATGCAGTTCTGTGGAGCAGTTTGAGAACTGAGCCATTTAGCAAGGCCTCCTTTAGAGGCAAAGGTTTATTAAAAAATAGTCCACAAGCAAAGCAACCCATCCACCTCTCAGCCCTGCATTGAGCAAAGTTTTCTGATTGCAACCCTTCCTCTAGGAGGAAACTGCATAAGGTTAGCCCTTTTTTGTCGGGGCATATGCTGAACCCTGAAACAAGTGGTCATTGAGTGGAAATCAAGAGTTACCAACCAGAAAAAAGGAGGAGTAGATGGAAAGCATATCTGGAATAGAACAGCAAGGAAAAAGACTGAAGAAATATGAGAGCAGTTATTTGTATAGCTGTTTGTTCACACAGCTTTAAATCAAGCAAGAACTGTACAGAAATTTTAACAGATGCTTGCCTGGGGATTGTGATACAAAGGAGGAATAAGGAGGGGACAAAAGCAATATCCTGTATTTTAAGTGGCACATAGTAGAACTGGAACACTCAACAGATGATGGAGATTCTTTTAATCTGAAAGAGAAGTGACAAAGGCATCTTGGGAGGCTTGTTCAAATATAGACAACAGGCAAGTTTATAATTGTTGCAAGATACATGTAACTGGTCTGGTTTTGTGCATGCTTAATCCTGCATGTACTGCCCATTATGATGTAAATTTAAGTCTGTTAATCTGTGAAATATGTAAGTGCCATGGGTGGTTCTCCAGCTGCAAACACATTGGTCTGAATTTGTAGGTCTGACTTAGAGGGGGGGAAAAAATCCTTCAAAGCATTCCTTAGGGATGTGCTTATAATATTCTAAAAATAAGGAACTTGGTCATAATTTTCATACGGAACTCTGCAAACAGCACTTTAAACAATTCTGCTAATGTTTCAGAGGCACAAAGAATCTTGTTAGTTGCTGGTATTCAGCTGTTCACCTCATAAAAAATGAATGATCATGGGTAAAGGGTATGGATTTATGAATTTAGTGTCTGGCACCTTAGTAACCTCTAAACAATCAAAGTGATTATTCATTTGGTTACCAGGAAGATGGAAACTTGTATGTAATCCCTTTATCCAGATGCAGGGGAGGAGCTGCAATGAAACTATCAAAGAAACTGTACAACCCTGGAAGAAAACAAACACAAAAAATTTTGAGTCATGTTCCCATCTAGTTTCTATATTTTCTCTAATCTCAAAAAATCAGATGTAGGGTTTTTGTTTGTGTGCATTCAAACAGCAAAACAAAAAACCTAGTAATACATAATTATGAAACTTCTGATTATCTGGATATGAAGCTTTGCATATAATGTTTTCAAATTGCAGAATGATATCATGTATATGTAGGGCTGATTGCTCAATGTTTTTCTATTAAATGGTTTTAAGGCTTTCTTTTTAAATGGTTGCTTATAGCTTTGTTGTTCTTTGCCTGAAACATTCTCTATTGGGTGTCTGCTCCATGATTGCTCCCCTCCCAGCCCTGCACACACACCCCCAGAGCTTCAGCAAAATGGTTAAGCTATTAATGATACAGTAAAGGAAAACATGTAGGATTTGCAAAGTTGAGAAAATCTCAGTGCCATGCAGGAGGGACACAATATAAAATGACCATCTATCTTTACCCATTTTTCTAAATGCAATTAGATTTTCCCATTCATTTTTTTCCTTGACCAAAGAAGTATTTATTCCTACATTGCCACTATAGTTGTGTTAGTTTGGCTGCTAAAGACTGAAAGTGCTACTGCTTTAGACTTCAGAGGCTATCGTCACCATATGTCATGGTAAGGACTGGAGAGTCTCTAGAATGCAGCTGCAGATGGATGTAAGATGCTGAGCTTTGTCTTTTCCAGCCTCTGTGTGGTGTCAAAGAGTGTATTTAGACATAGCTTAGACTCTTAATTTAGTAAAGAATCTCAAAATTTGTCAGTTTTCATACACTGTTATTACTGAACAATAAACCAAACCCAAACATATTCTAAGGTCAATGCAGTAAATATTCTCAGATTTAGCTCTACCCTGGTATATCTAGTGTGAGAAAAAAAGTTCAGTAAAATTACCTATAACTGATTTGTCCCCAGCACTGGCCCTTCAAAAACAACATGCAAAGCTAAGCAGTAACAGCTGTGTTTCCAAGATCGTGTCTTTCTAACTTTCTATTCAGAAATAATCACTAATTTTAGGTTCCTGGTTTGCAAATATTCAAAGTTAGGTAAGAATATTTTTTCCTTCTTTTTAAGAAGTCATAATGTGGATGTCTTTGACTAAGCTGGTTGTTTAAATTCTTTGTCATCAAGAAGATAAACTAGTAGTCCTGGAGACTGACTCATTTCAGATGATTGCTAGAGAAGGATGTTTCTCTGGGTTGATTAGAAGGGAGGCTAGGTGAGTAGTCACGTCAGGTGGTTACAGCTGACCTTCCAGATAATTATTTACATGCTGAGGGAAATTTTTCCTACTGTTTGCATGAATATTTTTCTTACTAAGTGTATTGATGAGATAAGAGGAGTCTGTTGCAAAGAGTGCCTTAAAGTAAGACATACAATTATTACAAGTACGTTTTACAAATTTCTGCAGATCGTTAAAATAACAAATATAGGCACTTTAAAACACCCTATTTACCTATCAAGACCTGATTTCAAAGTTTTATCATCTTACAATAGTTAATAACACTGGAACACCCACACGAATGCTGTTTCATAACTTTGCTTCTTTGCCTCTTAGAATGTCAGTTCTACAACTCTGCAAGAGAAATGCAGTCCTGAAATGAATGTTTGATTGCTTTGGAGGTCCTTAGTTAGCTTTAAATGCAAACTAAAAGTCGTCTTTGTTTATCTCCAAGGTAAACAGATTTATTTTTTTTTTCTGGGCTCTGTTTGAGGAACCTTGCCTAGAATGTTTTAATTTCAGTTTATTCTGAGAACTTTCTGAAATTTTTTATTAAACTTATGAATTTTTTATATTTCCTGCAGCAGGGAGTTTGAGGAGTGAGGGGCAATTCTGTGGTTGCAAGAGTTCAAAGGGAACTGTGAGAGCTGACAATGCTCTGGAAGAATGCAGAAAAGCAGCTTATGTTGGTGAATGAAAATAAGCCAGGATAACTTTTTCTCTCACATGCCTCTATTGCTCTTTGCACAAATCCAATCTGTTGTCTCTAGCTGTACCTATATCACTTACATTAAAGCTGATGGAAATTAGACATCTCTATCATCTCTACCAATTACAAATTGGTTATTGATCTTCCCAAAAACATGAAGGTTGACAGTTTGACCCCCAAACATTTGGGCACTAGTGTTTTTAGGTACTGTTGTGCTTTCACTATAGTTGGCTTTCTCTCCTGGCCCTATGTTACTGTATTTTTGTTTGGTGGGGTTTTTTTCCTAGTACTGATTTAAAAATTAATTTATTTTATTTTTTTTACTTTTAAGGAGCTCTACCATGTACCAAATGGCATGTCTCCAGGGAAGCTGTCTCATGGGATGGTGTATGGCGTTGTACACCGAACTGACAACAACCACAAGAGAGAAATGGTGGTTTATGGCTGGTCAGCTGATCAGCTGAAAGAGGAGATGAATTACATTAAAGAAGTGAGTTAAGCTTTCAGCTTCAAAATTTGTCAAATATCCTTTCCATATATTCATGTAGAGCTGTGAGTATATATGGAGTAACTGATGTCTAGCCTAACACCTGAATTTGAATTGGGAACCTACTCTGAAGCTAAAGGCTTGCCTCGTTGGTTATTTGAGTTGGAAAAAAAGCATGCTATATACCTGGGAACTGTGTGGTCCAGACTCAGGGCCTCTGTGCCAAGTGACACTTGTTAATGCTTGCTGACTGGGCTACAGCTGGGCAAGCAAACTGCCATACGCATCTTGGGGTTCCTGTCCTGAAGCCTTCATCGTTTCAAATGTGATACAGAAGAAACTATGTAAGCAGACACCTGAAAGGATAAACTCTGCTTCCCCCGTCCCCAAGCCCTGCAGTTTTGAAAAGGTTCCTAAATTAGGTGACATAGTAAAATCACTTGAATATATTTTGGGGCAGCCTTAAAATAGTCAGCCTAATAAGGATGACTTTGTACTACTTTATCTGTGCATGCTCATTTATCCTAATTGACAGAAGCTCTCCTGAAAGAAAAAAAAAAAGGCATTTCTGATGCTGTTGGCTTCTGTGCTTGAAACTCAGCATCTCTTTGTCTGTCAGTCCTTGGCTCTCAGACTTTGGCAATAACCCCATAATTAGCCCAGGGCAAATAATTTGATCTCTTTCCATCTGCCTTCACCACCTAGGAAGCTGTTGGTCAATGGTTATTGTGTTACACTGATTCGAGTGCAAACTGAGTTGATATAAAAGGGAGGAACAGTGAGTCAAGCCAACGGTGTAACAGACTGTAATTGTGTGTGCTCTTAGCATCTGCCTAGTCTCTAGCTATCAGCACTTGCTTCTCTCCTTTATTACTCACAGTTTGTTGGCTCCCAGCATTCACGACCGTCAGGTTCCTGCACCCAGGGTTAGGGCATGTCATTACTGCGGCGCAGGCGAGGCACACGAGCTGCCAGGGCTGCTGGTTTCCTGCCTGGGTACTTCATCTGCTGTGCTGGGCTGGTGTAAGGGGATGGGGCAGTTGGGACATGGCAGGTCCAGCTCCTGGGCTGCACTGCTGCCAGTACATGGTGCAGATGGCTTGGACTGGGACCATCTCCCTGCCCTCTTCTGTTCACAGACGGCTTGTGGCGTGGAGGGCTGTGTCAGACCGGGTGAACTGCATGTCTTGTGTGCGTGTCTTCAGGGTACTGATACTTTCAGGAAAAAGTGGGAAAGACATGGGAAAACATGTACTGGCCCTTGCTCTTCCGTCTTCTGGAAGCTGTGTTCAGCTATGCTGATTTGTGAACTTTGGTCTGCCAGATAAGTTTCGTGTTTAAAAGCAGAGTCTTAAACAAGAGTCCTCAGCTTGTGCCACGTATGTGCTGACTTAAATAGACCAAAAAAGTTGTACCACGTCAGAACTGCTGACAGTTTCCTTTGTATCTGAGTCAAATTTGTACCTTGCAAGAGAGTGTGTGTGCGCATGTGCATATGTGTGGGTAGGGACAGGGTGAGGGGTGCTTTCCTGAGGAAAGCCATGGGAGTTGGCTTCCTTCCATGTTTCTCATCCTAAAGGGAGCACATAGTTTGGCATAGGCTTGTGCCTACTCCTTGCATAGATTTGGTGGCCAATGCCCCTCTTTCTGAGAGGGAGTGGGTATACTGCAGAGCTGCTAGAAGCATCCCCTCTTGTACAAGGCCCTACTAATGTTTTCCCCTCGCTCCTTCCCCAAGCCTATGCAGAGACAAGGTAAGTTCACTGCCCTAGATTATCTGCAATCAGTCTGTGTTTGATAGAGGTGAGAGGAAAGAAAAAGGAGCTTGAATTACGTAGCTGGAAGTTAAGACTGTAGGCAAACATTTAACTAGTGTTTACAATGTGTGCTCTTAAGAAGATTGGTTCTGTGCATGATTGCAATGGCATGTAAACCCAAGCTGGCTTCCAGCATGCTTTTTTTAAATTTCTTTTTCTTTTATTTTTTTTTTTTTTTTTAGAAAGGCAAAGTATAATTACATCCATAGTTCTTAAATAGAATTGAGTACTCCGTTCTTCAGATTTGAAATTGCATTGATAAATTATGCTAATATATTATTTAGCTAGATACAAACCTGAAAGTCCAAAATTAATGGGTTTGTCTTCAAAGGATACTCAGGGAAAGCTAACTAACCACTTTAAAAAGTATGAAGATGTATTAAATCCATGTGTGGATCTCTGTTTTCAGAAATAAAACATTATATGCTCAAATTAATTTTAATTTGTTTAGTAATCAGGTTAGATTGAGTTAGACATAATTTAATTGAAATTCAGTATTTAAATTATTAATTTACAAGTGTTTAAGTGTATACAGAGAAGCTGAGAGTTACTCAGAGACGTTTATTCTTATCATCCCTATGTAGACAAATCTTGACACTTAACTTTTTGTCTTGTTCTTAAGAGTAAATTGCTATCGATGAAAAGGTAGATTAATAATTGAAATTACTGAAAGTAACAATGAAGGACAGTATAAACAGTATCATCAGTAAGTTTGATAAAGGCATTTGATTTTTTTTCTGACACTAGGTGAGAGCAACTCTAGAAAAAGTAAGAAAGAAAATGTATGGTGAATATGATGAAATGAAACGAAAAATACAGCAACTTACGAATGAACTGAAAGTAAGTATATG